ATGATAACCACAGCTGGATGGAAACTAACTAATGTGTTCAGTCCCTAATGCCACATCCTTGTAAAACTCATGACATTTTAGTGATCCACTATAGGCCTAGGTATTCCTACCAACTGATAGAAGTTTATGCTGCTGTTTTAATTATCCGGTCATTCTGCCCTAGTCCTATACTACTATCTGTCTGTGAGTACCTGTAGCTCTGATTGCTCGAACCAGACCTTTCCTCCTTATTGGTTCAATCATGTACTGTATAAGCAAGACATACCTGGTAGTATTACCCAACCAACGGGAAGGATGACATCTCTAGCACCTCTGCTGCAACCTTACTATCCTGGAACTCCTTGTTCTCATCATGAGAAATAGTAGAAGGATCAGTTCGAGGTTAGGATTAGTTGGCCTTGTAGGAGATTTCTTGTGTACCTGACATAGGAACCAAAGTACTGCCAAGTAAGAATGGGGAAAAAAGATTAGGAAAACTGATATTAGGGTGTCTAATCACAACATATTCTGGAAGCTCTATGATCCACCTGAGTCCCACCAGACTGGGGGTGGGGTGATGGGATGGCCTCCAGGGTTCAGGCTACTGAACTCCCAGTACCTCCCACTGTTCTTGTCAGTGGGCTTGAGAATCTGGAAGGAGCACCTGAGAGTCTTGTCAGAGGTGGGGTGATGGGATGGCCTCCAGGGTTCAGGCTACTGAACTCCCGGTACCTCCCATTGTTCTTGTCAGTGGGCTTGAGAATCTGGAAGGAGCACCTGAGAGTCTTGTCCATGCTCATCATGGCGCCGGCATTGTCAACTTTGCCACAGTAGTTAGGAGCCGAGAAGAGTGTCAGCAGCTGCCGCTTGGCAAAGAACTCATAGCCATCTTCTAACACCTGATGTGCCCTGCAGATGAGGTCCAAGTCATGCTTCTGCAGGAACTTAGCCACTGCCTCGCCCCAAGGGTAAAGGAGACTCCACGATCATTCTCGCCCCAGCCTTGTGATGTTTTGAATCTGCTCCATGGACTGCAGGTCTGGAGACAGACCTCCATAGCAGCAGCAGATCGTCTCATCCACGATGGCTGCAATAGGCAGGTAGTTGAAGCAGTAGGTGAAGGTTTTCCACAGCTTGATGTTGTAGCGTCTCTTGCACACATCATAGAAACCATGGATGCGGTTGATGCTGGCACACTCGTGGTTCCTATAGAGCAGGAAGAAATTCTGAGAGTACTTGATCTTATAGGCCAGCAGCAGACAGATGGTTTCCAAAGACTGCTTATCCGATCCACATAGTCCCCCAAGAAGAGGTAGTTGCTCTCTAGAGGGAAGCCACCGTACTCAGCCGCAGAAGGTCGCAGTACTGGCCATGGATGTTACCACAGATCTTGAGGGGTGCCTCCAGCTCCAGAAGAATGGGCTGGCTCAGGAAAATCTCCCGTGGTTTGAGGCACAGACCACGGATCTCGTTCTTGGTCAGCTGCACATTCTTTCCAGGCCGCGAGCCCTGCACTTCCAGTGGGCAGCCGAGATCAAGTCCAGGTTGAGCTTCTGGCTGTCCGACATGGCAGCTCCGCTGCTCCAGTCCAGCAGCTCCAGGCCTGCTTTTACCTCCCGCCCTCCTTCCCGCCTACATGTAGGTAGGTGGACCCATGTCATTCAATGTCCATGGAGGTCAGAGGAGGGCACTGGATTCCCTGGAACTGGAGTTACAGACGATTGTGAGCCACCATGTGGGTGCTGGGAATCAAACCCAGGTCCTCTGTAAAATCAGCCAGTGCTCTTAACCACTGAGCTCTCTCTGGCCCCTCAACATTTCTTTAAATAAAGTATTTTGTATGACCCTTCTGCTAGAGTACAGTGTATATTATTCGTAGTGTCTGTATCAGTTATCGTTTGTAGCTGTAGGAAATAGCATGACCAAAAGTGACTTCTAGAAGAAAGATTTTATTTTGGCTTATGTTTCCAGAGGAAGAATTAATCCATAATGGCAGGTGAAGTGTGGCAGGAGCCAGGCCAGGAAGCTGAGAGATCACATCTCCATTCACAAGCCAAAAGCAGTGAGAACAAACTACAAATGGATTGAGGCTCTAAACCTACAAAGCCCCCAACCAATGACACATTTCCTCAAGCTAGGGTCCAGCTCCCAAGGGTTTCTATAACTGTCCCACACAGTGCCACGAACTGAGGACCAGATGTTCAAATATGACAGCATATGGGGGGCATAGCTCATTTAAACCAACGTATATTCTCTTGTTTATAGGAGCACTTCACCAAATGCTATTGATAACCTTTCCTCCTTGGCTATGTGAGTCATATGTTCCATTGTTGTGGAACTCTGTCCTCTGACTAATGGCATCCTGGTATCAGAGCAATTGTGATACAAACACTAGATGCCTACCAGATTGGGTCCACTACTTTCCCTCATAAAAGAAGAACACAGCCCAAAAGAGTCTGCTTTTCTTTGTACAGCTTTCTTATAACCATATCATTTCAGTAGGCAAGTTTGTCAGTCCTTTAGTAAAGATAATATCAGGAGGAGCCAGGATATCCCATCAGGATGTATGTGATAGACCCTGGTCAATTTTTATGGATAACAGAGAGTCTCTGGAATGCGGGTATGGCGGGAGCTTTTTGTTTGCATGGTTATTTGTAGTTGTTGTTTTGTCAAAGTCTGACTCTGTGTCTCAGGTTAGCTTTGAACTCGTAAATATTTTCCTACTGAATGTCGGCATTACAGGCACATGCCAACCATGCCCAGTCTAGCTCCAATCTGGAATACACTATTTCCATTTGATATTGAGCTGCACTGACCATGTTCAGTGTGCAAATACCAAAGTGGAGAATGGTAGTTCAGGTCACTGTGTCACATGTGGGGCATTAGCCAAAGATGTTCCGTCTCTCCCAGAGCCCAACAGAAATCAAGGGGTTGTTCTTCAAAAGTCTTACCTGGCAGCTGTGTCAAGGTAATTCCTATGTCCAAAATCCAAGAGGCTAATGTACAGAGCCATTGGCCTCCATAGGAAACCACAGCCTTTGCCTCATCTCTACCTGCACTATATCCCAGAGCATTGGGCTCTCCAATGTCACTTGTCAAACATACACCAGCCAAGCTGCATAAGACTTCCTTGTTCTGTTTTTAAGTCTTTTGTTTTCTGAGTTTTCAGTACTGCAAAAGCTTCCCCTTAGATACTTTAGGAGTGATCTGAGTATCTACTTTTTAAATTTATTACTTTTATTTTCTGTGTATGTATGTATTGCCTGCATGTAGGTAAGTGCACCTGTGTCGTGCAATGCCCATGGAGGACAGTAGAGGACTTCAGATCCCCTGGAACTGGAGTTGTGGACAGTTGTTAGCTGCCATGTGGGTGCTGGCATTTGAACTCGGGTCTTTTGCAAAACAACCAGTGTTTTTAACCATTGAGCCATCTCTCTAGCCCCTGAGCATCTATTTTTATTCTTTGTTGACTTGGGGTTTCAGGGTACTGAATTATAGAGCTCTTAGTCTATAAGAATTAAAAGCCCCTTAAGTGTTGCAAAATCAGGGAATCATGACTTGCCTTCATTTCCATAGCCTACATTGCCAGTTTATTTACACCCACCATTCCTACTTCCCATAAATCATCCATGTTTGTCTAGCTTCTTTGGCCTATCTGATTTCCCAATCCTGAGCTCTGTGTTGAGGTGTGTGACCTCTTTTGTCTTGCCATGAAGTTGTTATACGATGAGAATAATGACTTTGTGACTCAGCTTTGTGCAATGACTACAAACTTTTCTGAATCCAGGAAAAAGAACATTTTCGTGTGCAGTAAAATTCATGAAGCAAGCCGGGCATGGTGGTGCTCGCCTTTAATCCCAGCACTCGGGAGGCAGAGGCAGGCAGATCTCTGTGAGTTCAAGGCCAGTCTGGTCTGCATAGGGAGTTCCAGGCCAGCTGGGGCTACAGGGAGACCCTTTCTCAAAAAGACCAAAAAAAATCTTATAAAAGGGGCTTGAGAGATGGCTCAGCAGTTAAGAACACTGTTCTTGGGTCTTGTCAAGTCCAGAGAGCAGTATTTCACCCTTTTCCTCTCCAGTCTTTCTGCCTCTACTGCCTCAACGATCCCTGAGCCTTGAGGAGAGGGTGTGTAATATGCACTTCAGATTTATGACTGAGCACTCCACAAACATTATGCCCTACACATTATATATGCCCTACACATACTATATGCATTTAGCAGAATCATAGTAATAGGTTCAAAGATCAGGCCTGTGAGCCCCCAACCATAGGTTATAGACCATATTCACAACAGCATGGATGTTTTTCTTCCTGTGCAGAAGGCCTTAAATCTGATCTGAATGCATTTGGTTACCCCCATAACATTTGTACCACTAGCATACACGTAAGGATATCTATGAGCCCTTTATATCCTAAGACATAACTTTTTCCTCCACATTTTTCAAGATTGGTCACCCTCTGCTAATGAAAACTTTTTCATGTGCAAAATTTCAGAATAATTGGCAATTTATGAAAAATATTTCATGTCCAGAAAATTAAGTTATATAAGAAAAATCAATGACCTATAGTAACAGACACTAGAAAATGGTTCAGGGTTCTGATCCTTTTTCTATTAGGGAATTTTTTGAGCCTGAGCTAATTACTGAAAATATACAATAAAGATTTGTGATCCAATCATGAACAGAAAAATGCATAAATGCTTCAGTTTTCTGGAGATTTCTTTGCACAAGATGTGAAAGAACAAGTATTTATTGTACATCACCTATGCATATGATTTGAATGATTAACAGTTAATTCAAGCAAACTTTCATCAGTTCTGGTTTAAGATAGCTTGATCAATGACTTCTCGTTTATAAGTGAAACAAGTAAAGGATTGCTGAAGGATGTCCTATTTTCACACGTATCATGAGAGAAGCAACAGAAAGGAGACCTATTAATCAACCTTTTCAGATTATTGCTGTGTTAAGTATATAACATGTCAAAATATAACCTTCAATTGCTTTACTACATATACTGTTGATTTACAGATTTTTCTCTAACCAACTAATATACTTATCTCTTATTCTGAGTCCGAGATTTAAAAACAATGGTGCTGTGGTGAATGACAGGGCTCCGTGAATTCCTTCCTCTATGTGGTCATGAGTGACTGGAACCCCAGCATTTCTAAGCCGTTTGACATAAATAAGTCCATCATCTCTTAGGATATCATGTTCACAAGTGAGGACATAGGTTAATGGCAAATTCTGTAACTGGGAGTCACTAGCTAGCAAAGGTGATATCCTATTATGCGGAAATTTTGGATAGGAAGAATTCAGTTTTCCAAGAATCGGTTCAGTGTAAACATGGTTCTTTTTGTACTTCTCAGGGAGGAAGACACTCCAGTTAACAAACTTGAACAGATGTCTTGAGTCTTGAGGCATGTGCTCATTTCTCAGTGCTGCCCGTCGCAGCTCTTTGTCTTTAGTCAGATACAGGGATGCCAAATTGATTGCCACCTCCTTTGAGAGGAAAGGGCCATGTTCATACTCTCGATAAGATGGTGTGAGGGTATCAATGAATTGCAGGCCAGGGTATATCAAGGCTTGTGCTTTAATTTTATCCTTGAATTCTGGATCATCCTGTAGCTGAAAATATATAATGAATATGTAAGAGTCAATCTTTGAAACAGGTTCTGATTTTAATGTAACTGGGGTAAATAAATTCATAAAGGTTAAATATTATTTATGGATTATTCTATTTATTCATTGTTTCAGTGACAGGAAAGTGTGTTACTTTCATCTGTGAAGAAATTATGCACACTCTCATGGTCACACACATTTATTCTCACATGACAATCAAACAGCCATGTGATCAGGAGAGTCGTAGTGAAGATGACAGCCTAACTATGTTCAAGACGATTTATTTTAGGAAACTCATTTTTGGCTCTTTGTGACCAATTCTTCTTATCTGTCCAAGGTTGTCCCAGAATATAGCATCCCTCTTCTCAGTCTCCTAAGTGCTCAGGTTATAGTCATGTGTCACCCCCCCCACCCCACCCCCTTTTGCCTAAAAGGATTTTGGACATACAACTAATCTAAATGAGCAGAAACAGTGAATATAATAAAACGCCATGGCAAAAAATAATATTTATGTAATTCAGATGGACTCTTAACATGTTAAAGAAACAACTCTAACATATATTTTTCTCCTCCCCACCCCATCTAACATATATTTTACCTTTAGTCTAAGTAGTGTGATATGATGGAAAATACACAGAATAACTTACCAAAAATCAAAAGAACAGAAACAAATTGTAGAATGTTGTGTAGACTATTTTTTTTACCAGGAATGAGAAATTTCCAGATGTTGCAGCTGTAAAAAGACTCTTTCTTACTTTTTTTCAGTCCTATAGTCTACAGGAGAGTACTTACAATGGCCTTCCTAAAGATAATCATTTAAGTAACACCTGAACTTCCACAGCAGTGCCATGTGGACAAATGTCTCTACCTGCAGCCACTATACAAAGATTTTTAGGATCTAGATAGTGTTAAGTAAGCCCGAAGATGGAAGGGCAAGATAGACAAAATACAGGCAGAGATAATGCTAAAATCCTTTGAAAAAGTCATATGGAAAACTACTACTGTAGAAACATTCTAAAATATACATACGCATATATAATTTAGACAAAGCTACCCTATAATAAAGTAACACTGCCCCTACTAAACACCACAAGTGAACAAATAAAAAGCCCAGTGCCAGAAATGTGCTACTTCTTTTTGGAGTTGTTTGCCAATGACGTCCCATAGACTTCCAAACATCATAGGCTCTTATCTATTACCAATGCTCTTTATTACCCTCCGGAGCTTCATAGTAATGCCCTGTTGCTAAAGAAAGTACATACTTGAATCATTAAACATGGAGAAATCAAGTTGGTACTGACCTGGAAGCTACATCCCTACAAGTTAGCTTTCAAAGTGCTGGAAGCTGCTATGCATGACTCCAAAGGAGAAGAAGAACAATCACTCTTACCACCTCTGAACCCTGTGAGCTATAATAATGACCATCCTGGAAAGACACGCATAGTGGTACCTGAGTGTTAGGAATGTCAAGGGACCAACCAATCACATTTTGACTGCATTTAAGATGAAACCCATACCTGGCAGTTATTGGGACCAAGAATTTATGTCAAAATAGGTCATAGGCCCTAGAGATGAAGAAACCTGCTTCTATTGTTCTGCTGAATGAACATAGTATTAAACTGATTCCTAATGACTCATCACTGTACCCACAGATTAATGCATCTCTAGGTCCTCATCAGAGAAGCTTCTTTTGGCAGGATGATTAACAGAGAGACAGATCAACATGCAGGGAATAAGAATCTGCAGAATTCCCATCCCTAAATGGAACATCTATATTATATCTTCTCCTCTGGCAGTGCGGCAATCATGGTAGAGGATGCATGGGAAGAGTGCAAGTGCCAGAGACAATGGCTGATAACAAGAAAACATGTTTCTGGACACAACATAGCAGGTACACATATGAACTTGCAGAGGTTCCGACTGCATACACAAGATCTGAACAAGTGCAAGCTATACTAAATCCCAGCATGGAGAACAAGGATGAAGTCCCATCTCTAGCTAAGGAGCTGCTGACAATTGATAGTTTCTGGGAGAGGGAGAGTAAATTTTCTTAAGGGTATGGAAAATTACCCTGGTACCAGACCCTTGAAAGGAGTACCACTGCAGTGGGATGGCTAACCACTGTCTCCCCAACTAGGAAATTTTCTGATATTGCAATAAGCTACATAAGGATTACTGTATCTTAAATTTCTTGAGTTATTTCTAGCCTTTTCTTGCAAGCAGTCTTACAGAATTCCAGTAGTCAATCCCAAAGAAATGGAGCGGCAAATGGGGGCAACCAGCAAGCAAAGCTTGTTTGTGGCACCCAGTGTAGCTAGCCAAATGGACTGCACAGAACAGAAGTGGGAAAGAGCAGGTACTGATGGCAGGCAAGAGCAGTGTGGACTCAGATTCAAGCATCAGCCCAGAACAGTGATTGAGCTAACTCTATATAGTGATAGATAGAAGATAGATAGATGATAAATGGAAGATAGATTAGATAAATAGATAGATAGATAGATAGATAGATAGATAGATAGATGATAGACAGATGATTGATAGATAGATGATAGATGATAGATAGATAGATAGATAGATAGATAGATAGATAGATAGATGATAGATAGATAGATGAGAGAGCTCTCTAGGATCTGCCTCTAATCCCTAATCTTTGCTTATTTATCAATTTAATAACATTTGTCACAAATACTGAAATCCTTATATCTGTAAGTTCTCACTTTTATTGTCTATTAATATAGTATCCAGTGTTACCTATCTTATTCCAAGACATGGGCCAGATTTATCCTTCTTCAATGAGCTGAAGGACAAAAATGTTCAAATTTAGTGATTCTACACCAGCTACAATCAACAATCATTAAGTCATCAGTCTGGCAACCATTAGTCCATGTATTTTACTGCACATTAATTTCTCCATATGCACATGTGTGCTTCAACATGTTAAGGCCTGATCAAGATGATGGACTTGCACTGGGGAATGGCTGGGGGCACTGACAACACAGTAGGCAGTTATAGGGATGACAGAGCATATGGGTTCCAGTCGGGGGGAGGGCTAGGGGAGGGTGCCATTTGGGATGAGGGTATAAAGATGATTAACATTGTTTGGGATATTCTGTATGAAATACACACAAAAAATCAATCAAAAAAGAGAATTACTTCCTAAGCTCATAGAGCAATTTATCCCAATTTCAAAAGACCAACATTCATGTTACACCTTAAAAACTATATAATATTTTGTCTTGAGAGTATACGCAGTGTTACATGCAGGTGGTGTCTCTTTAGTCCTTTCACTGGATTTTGAATTGTTTTACTTGTTGCACTGTCTGAAAGATCACAAAATGTATCTACCTATTAGTCTATCTTTGTCTAATTTATTCATCATCTTCCCAAATATCAATAGCAATATAATTTTATGTTGTGTACTTTTTATATCACATAATTCAAATAACCTGCATTTGTTAATATTATATGTATACCATATGCTACATATGGAAGATATATACAAGATGTTGTAGGTGACTTTTTTATATCATATGATATAAAAAAGAAATGGAAAAAATATAAGGATTAATCAACTAATACTTTTTTGAGTTTTCTATACTTTGAATATGGTAAGAGGGTATTATCACTGTAATCAGAAAAAAATAGTATTTGAAAAGATGTTGGACAGGTGTGTTCCTACAATGAACTTTAATAAAGGTTGACTTATTCTATTTGTCCAAGTGCCAAACAAAGTCACAGAGGAAAGACAAGCAGACAGGGACACGAAGAAGTAGTGGTATTAGGGCACATGGAGCATTGAGGGAGGGGCAGAGCTTCTGTAAGATGGGCTTGCATGAGTGTGTTCTTACCTCCTGGACAATCTCATTGCAAGGAAATGATGTATTAAGCTGATGACGTATTCTTTTCAAAATAATTGAAACTAGATTGAAATGTCAAGGTAGAGATGAAATATGACTCTTCCATTGCTCTTTAGACAAACTGAAATTGTTCAATTAATATTTGCTTCATAACTCAGGATATAAAGGAATAATATCTCATTCAAGACCAGGCCTCTTTATTCTGAAATTTCTCAAAGAGTTAGAATTATAATACATGAACATTGTAAGCTTCATATTTCATACAACAGTGATCCTTCCTAATGAAGTGACCAAATTTTAATCTCTAACTCTTTATATAAGCTTTCTGCCAACATTGATTAGATGGATTTGGCTAAAGTTTTGTTTAGTGATGGCATGTTACAAATTATTGTGTTTGCCACCCACCTGGCGCTTGTTGCAAGTCTTACATCCAGAAAGACCTCATGCTTTGTTAAAAAGCTCAGCTACTATAGTCTTAAAATTTTCTAAAATGTCCTCTTCTAACTGTTGTTATACAATTCAAGTCTGAAAGAACAGTGAAACACACCAATGAGCAGACGGCTAGCTGCTTCAGCCTTGCCGGCCTGTCAAAGCCACATAGTTAACATTTCCACAGCGTGCTTCCTTCTGCTCCCTCTGAGGCTTTGCTGTACTCCAAAAGCATTGTGAGTCCACCACAAATGTCTGCCCGTGATCTAGATCCCATAGGTGAAGCTAAGACAGTAGGAGTTCTGAGGCCTCAAGGGGCCCAGCTTTCCACTTGAACCACAAGTTGCTTTAGATGAAGCTGAGCAACCAGTGAACACCATCATACCCTTTCTTTCTCCCTCATTTTACCTCCCTGTGGAACCCACTTACAGTACAAATGAAGACAGCGGGTGGGATGGGGACAACATAGTTCCTTTTACATGCAAACCTTCTTTTCTCTGTAGTAATGAAAGTAGAATCGTTGATGGAAGGTTTATACATGAGCAATGTGATGATTTGTGCTTAGTTCCATTCCTCTACTAAGAACAAAATACATTTGTAACTATAGGTCACACCAGCAATTCTACATCCAAGTTAAAAGTACTTATATTTGGAGCCAGGCGTGGTGGCACACTCCTTTAATCCCAGCACTTGGGAGGCAGAGGCAGGTGGATCTCTGTG